TGTTCCAAGCTGGTTCTTTCTTTCTGTTTTAGACACAATAACTTGGACCCCATTTGCTGAGGAAAATGAACTTTAACGGATTTATGAAAAACTACAGAGGGGTGAGGAACAATCAAGGATTCTGTAAATGCACTTCCTCCAAACTGAGAGTGAACGCTAATTCTCCAAAATTCTCTTTTTGTTTCCATAGACTATGCTGGCCTATAGCAAAACCCACTGATCTTCGGCTGCGTGGGGACAGAGGCTCAAATGGTTTTTGGTAGGTTTTTCTCCACAAAGTAGGACAGCCACTCCTTCAGTCATTACTATGAATGGCCACAAATAAAGACACCACATTTCATATAAATACATTTAGTAAAAAAAAAGAAAACATTAAAGAGAGAGGTGTCACCAATGTTAAAAAAAAATCACAAGTTTTATCATAAAATACATTTATGTATCAATATAAAAAATATCTAAAATGCATGTTCCCATGTACAATGCAGGGGCATAATGCAGACATCCAAATTTTTATACCTACAGTTGCAAGAAAAAGTATGTGAACCCCTTGGGATTACGTGGAGTTTTGCATGAATTGGGCATAAAATGTGCTCTGAACGTCATCTAAGTCACAACAATAGAAGAACACAGTCTGCTGAACATAATACTACACAAACATTAGATGATGCCATGGTTTAATTGCACATAACATGTAAATATTCACAGTGCAGGGAGGAAAAAGTATGTGAGGCCCTAGCTTAATGACTTCTGCCAGAGCTAATTGGAGCCAGGAGTGAGCCAACCTTGACTCCAATCAGTGTGATGCTATTGGATGTGTTGCTGACAGCTGTCCTGCCCTTAAAAAACACACACCTGTTTTGGGTTTACTGGTTTCAAGAAGCACTGTCTGATGTGAACCATGCCTCGCAGAAAAGAGCTCTCAGAAGACCTACAATCAAGAATTGTTGACTGGCATGAAGCTGGAAAGGGTTACAAAAGTATCTCCAAAAGCCTTGATGTTCATGTGTCCACGGTAAGACAGACTGTCTACAAATGAAGAAAGTTTAGCACTGTTGCTACTCTCCCTAGGCGTAGTCCTGTAAAAATGACTGCAAGAGCACAGCGCAGAATGCTGCATGAGATAAAGAAGAATCCCAGAGTGTCAGCTAAAGACCTACAGAAATCTCTGGCACATGCTAACATTTTTGTTGACACATCTACAATAAGGAAAACATTAAACAAGAATGGAATACATGGGAGGACACCACGGAGGAAGCCATTGCTGTCCAAAAAGAATATTGCAGCGCGTTTGAAGTTTGCAAAAGAGCACCTGGATGTTCCACAGCACTACTGGCAAAATATACTGTGGACAGATGAAACCAAGATTGAGTTGTTTGGGAAGAACACACAACACTATGTGTGGAGAAAAAAAGGCACAGCACACCAACATCAAAACCTCATCCCCACTGTAAAACATGGCGGAGGGAGCATCATGGTTTGGGGCTGCTTTGCTGCCTCAGGGCCTGGACGGATTGTTGTCATTGATGGGAAAATTAATTCCAGAGTTTATCAAGATATTTTGCAGGAAAACATACGACCATCTGTCCGCCAACTGAAGCTCCGCAGAGGATGGGTGATGCAACAGGACAATGACCCAAAGCATACAAGTAATTCAACAAAACAATGGCTGCAAAAGCACAGAATACGCCTTCTGGAGTGGCCCAGTCAGAGTCCTGACCTTAACCCGATTGAAATGCTGTGGCATGACCTTAAGAGAGCGATTCACACCAGACATCCCAAGAATATTGCTACACTGAAACAGTTTTGGGAAGAGAAGTGGTCCAAAATTACTCCAGATCGTTGTGCAAGTCTGACCTGACACTATGGGAAATGTTTGGTTGAGGTTATTGCTGCCAAAGGAGGGTCAACCAGTTATTAAGTCCAAAGGTTCACATACTTTTTCCTACCTGCACTGTGAATGTTTACATGTTATGTGCAATTAAACCATGGCAACATCTGATGTTTGTGTAGTATTATGTTCAGCAGACTGTGTTCTTCTATTGTTGTGACTTAGATGACATTCAGAGCACATTTTATGCCCAATTCATGCAAAACTCCACGTAATCCCAAGGGGTTCACATACTTTTTCTTGCAACTGTATATGAACTGCCCTTTACCCAACCATTGCCTAATTTATATAGCTTTGCTAAGCTTTCATCCTCAAAGATGTAGAGCTAATCACAAGTGGTAACCTTTGATGCAATTCTCAGGTCTGCTGCATCAAAAACATATGCGAGACATATATTATATGATATCATGTGCAAATATTCATCTCATGGGAGACCGCAGGGGACAATAAAAACAACCACACTAGAAACTGTACCAGAACTATCTTGGGATAAGGATAGGATAAAGATGTAGACAATGTTGGTACATTGTAATAAATGTGTCAATAAATCCATATAGGCGGACTATGGAGCCTTCTCATGGCCAATGTCAGAACAAGTAGACCATACAACATACAATGTAAAGATTATAAAGAGGGTAATGTAATGTGCCAATGAGAATGTAACATGGCTTGTCTGTATTACTTACTAGGGTATTATTGAGAAGAAGTCATAGACATAACGCACAGCCAACATAGGTGGCGGGCACATCTGGGTACACCTGTCCATCTGGAATGGGCAGGAATTCTTTATTGCAGAAGAGATATATTCTGCAATAAAAACTAAAGCTTGCATTTAGTGCAGGGGGGAGTAAAGTTTCCCATCAAGAAGGGCAATGAACTTCTTCCCATCCCATGTGACAAAATTGGGTCAATCAGCAAGTACCCTTGCTTTCAGCAGTGAGGAAGGGTAAGTGAGTTCCAAGCTCCTTCATGCTCATAAGTATTGAGTGTTTCACTTCTCTCATATCAGCAGTAGACAAAAGAAGTTTAGTGTACCTATTGCTCTGCCCTGCATGGGGAAAATACAGGCTCTTTGTAAGTACTATAGCAAGTTCATTAATACGGGCAGTCAGCTCCTGTTCAAAACTTCTCAACTGCATAGTATGACGGTCTTTTATATAAGAAATGTGAAACTAATCTTAGATCTAGTAGTCTACAAAACATTTCCTTCATATGAAAGTTTTGTGTAGAAAAATATGTCAGTCTTCTAACAAATCTTCCTGTCCCTGGAGAAAATTGTTCTTTCTTTTACTAAGCTTTTTTAGTACAGCTTTTAAAAAATAGAATATAAGAGAGTGCAATCACTGTTTCATGAAGTAGACAATATATATACATATATATATATATATATATACACTATATTGCCAAAAGTATTGGGACACCCCTCCAAATCATTGGGTTCAGGTGTTCCAATCACTTCCATGGCCACAAGTGTATAAAATCACACACCTAGGCATGAAGACTGCTTCTACAAACATTTGTGAAAGAATGGGTCGCTCTCAGGAGCTCGGTGACTCCAAGCGTGGTACCGTGATAGGTTGCCACCTGTGCAATAAGTCCATCCGTGACATTTCCTGGCTACTAAATATTCCACGGTCAACTGTTAATGGTATAACAAAGTGGAAGCAACTGGGAACAACAGCAACTCAGCCACCAAGTGGTAGGCCACATAAAATGACAGAGCGGGGCCAGTGCATGCTAAAGCACACAGTGCGCAGAAGTCGCCAACTGTCTGCAGAGTCAATATGTCAGGAATGGACTTACCAATAGTGGTGGGACTCACCTGCCAGTGGGTGCTCTCAACAACCAGAGGCTCACTTCGGCAATTAGCCATCACCTGGGGCTGATTGCAGGTGGTTTATTTAAGGGATGGACAGACCTGCAGTCGGTGCCTTGTTGTACTGTTTGCTTGGCCCAGGTTTCCTGATCCTGTTTCTGCTGTCCTGACGCTGCCTGAACTCTGCCTGTACTGACCTCGGCTAGTCCTGACCACTCTCCCGCCTGCTCCTGGTACTCCGTTTGCCCGTTTGTTAGCGACCCGGCCTGCCTGACTACTCTTGTATCGTATGTTTGTTATCTGTTGGAGGTTTGGTTCAGTTTGTTTGCACTGTGTTATGTTTAGTTTTGCACTGCGTTTGTATTGTTAGTCTTAATAAATTATATTATTTACCATATCTGAAGCCTACGTTTCCCTGTGTCAGTCCACACACTTCTGGTCACACCCGCATCCCTGACATTACAACAAGGCCATCCTGACCAGAAGTGGCTGCACAGGGAAGCCATCTTGGCTTGTTGCTGGGAAGGATGGATCTTGATGAGGTTGTGTATATGTCGCTGCTGGTTTTTGATGACAGAGAATATGCTTATCAGACTCTGAGGGAGTATACCCGGGATCAACTGCTAGAATGTATACGGATCGCTCATGTTCTAGTAGATCAGGGCACAGAGTTCTCTGAGGTGCAACCTTTGATTCAGGTTTGTGTAGAGTTGGCTTCATCTGGTACCCCTGAAAGCAGGAATGACTTTTTGCCACCATTTAGTGCAGACCAGGTAGAGTCCCTGGTATGGTTATTAGAGGATGATGTGGATTGCTTCTTGGAGCATTATGCTGCATGTTCACAACAGGTATTAAGGGATTGTATAAACGCAGTGCAGTCTTTGACCAGACAGGCTTTGTGTAAGCTGAGCTTTGTTCAACCCATACTGCAGACATGGTCAGACTTGTTGCACCCAGCCTCAGTCAGCTTACAACGTCATTCCTCCGCTCAAGGCACTCTTCCTGCATCCCCGACAGCACCCCCAGTGACGGCCCAGTATGCTCTGCTAACTACCACATATCAGTCCTCTGCTCCCACTCGCTGCACCTATCCTTTCTTTAACCCTGTAAAGAAGTCCTCTGTAGCAACTGCTCCCTCCTCTGTTCCATCCTCCAGCTCTTCTCTGTCTTCAGCTGCTCCATCCGTTTACAAACCTGCGCTTACTTACAGTGCTCCGGTAACTAAAACCAGGAAAAGGTGAAAATTCTTTCCAACCAATACCATCCTGCCAGTATCCAAACCGGTCAGCCTGCCATCTGAGAACCCGTCTTCCGTGGTGCAGCCTGGTGCCTCAGCGCCCACAATTCAGCCTGATGTCTCTTTACCCAGCCTGATGTCTTTACCCAGCATGATGTCTCTACCCAGCTGATGTCTCTATTCAGTCTGATGTCTCTACCCAGCCTGATGTCTCTACCCAGCCTGATGTCTCTACCCAGCCTGATGTCCTTACCCAGCCTGATGTCCTTACCCAGCATGATGTCTCTACCCAGCCTGATGAACTGGTCCAGCCTGATGATCCTATTATGCCAGATGACTCGATGCCCGCTGTTTGCCAGTTGACTCGGAGCCCGCTGTCGGGCCGGTTGACTCAGAGCCCGCTGTTGTGCCTGGTGACTCGGGGCCCGCTGTCTTGCCAGATGACTCGGTGCCCGCGTCTTGCCAGATGACTCGGTGCCCGCGGTCTTGCCAGATGACTGGTGCCCGCGGTCTTGCCAGATGACTCGGTGCCCGCAGTCTTGCCAGACGATCAATGCCTGATGACCCGGTGCCCGCTGTCATGCCAGATGACTGGTGACCCGATGCCCGCTGTCGTGCCTGATGACTCGATGCCCGCTGTCGAGCCAGACGATCCAATGCCTGATGACCCAGTGCCCGCTGTCATGCCTGGTGACCCGATGCCCGCTGTCATGCCTGGTGACCCGATGCCCGCTGTCGTGCCTGATGACTCGATGCCCGCTGTCAAGCCAGACGACTCGGTGCCCGCGGTCTTGCCAGACGACTCGTTGCCCGCAGTCTTGCCAGAGGACTCGGTGCCCGCAGTCTTGCCAGACGACTCGGTGCCCGCAGTCTTACCAGACGACTCGGTGCCCGCAGTCTTGCCAGATGACTCGATGCCCGCTGTTCTGCCAGTTGACTCGGTGCCCGCGGTCTTGCCAGATGACTTGGTGCCCACGGTCTTGCCAGATGACTCGGAGCCCGCGGTCTTGCCAGATGACTCGGTGCCCGCGGTCTTGCCAGACGACTCGGTGCCCGCAGTCTTGCCAGACGACTCGGTGCCCGCAGTCTTGCCAGACGACTCGGTGCCCGCTGTTCCGCCAGTTGACTCGGGAGCCCGCTGTCGGGCCGGTTGACTCAGAGCCCGCTGTTGTGCCTGGTGACTCGGGGCCCGCGGTCTTGCCAATGACTCAAAGCCCGGGTCTTGCCAGATGACTTGGTGCCTGCAGTCTTGCCAGATGACTCGGTGCCCGCAGTCTTGCCAGACGATCCAATGCCTGATGACCCAGTGCCCGCTGTCATGCCTGGTGACCCGATGCCCGCTGTCGTGCCAGATGACTCGGTGCCCGCGGTCTTGCCAGACGACTCGGTGCCCGCAGTCTTGCCAGACGACTCGGTGCCCGCAGTCTTGCCAGACGACTCGGTGCCCGCTGTTCCGCAGTTGACTCGGAGCCCGCTGTCGGCCGGGTTGACTCAGAGCCCGCTGTTGTGCCTGGTGACCGGGGCCCGCGGTCTTGCCAATGACTCAAAGCCCGGGGTCTTGCCAGATGACTTGGTGCCCGCAGTCTTGCCAGATGACTCGGTGCACCGCAGTCTTGCCAGACGATCCCCTGATGACCCAGTGCCCGCTGTCATGCCTGGTGACCCGATGCCCGCTGTCGTGCCTGATGACTCGATGCCCCCGCTGTCGAGCCAGACGATCCAATGCCTGATGACCCAGTGCCCCTGTCATACCTGGTGACCCGATGCCCGCCGTCGTGCCTGGTGCCCGGATGCCCGCTGTTGAGCCAGATGACCTGGTGCCCCGGTCGAGCAAGACGATCCAATGTGCCGCTCCGCCTGGGGGCCCGGTGCCCACCGCCCCGCCTGGGGGCCCAGTGCCCGCCGCTCCGCCTGGGGGCCTGGTGCCCGCCGCCCTGCCTGGTGGCCCGGTGCCTGCTGCTCCGCCTGGTGGCCCGGTGCCTGCTGCCCTGCCTGGTGGCCCGGTGCCCGCTGCTCCGCCTGGTGGCCCGGTGCCCGCCGCTCCACCTGGTGGCCCGGTGCCTGCCGCTCCCCCTGGGGGCCCGGTGCCTGCCACCCTGCCTGGTTGCCTGGTGCCTGCTGCTCCGCCTGGGGCCCGGTGCCTGCCGCTCCGCCTGGGGGCCTGGTGCCTGCCGCTCCGCCTGGGGGCCCGGTGCCTGCCGCTCCGCCTGGTGTCCCGGTGTCCGCTGCCTTGCCTGGGGCCCGGTGCCTGCTGCTCTGCCTGGTGGCCCGGTGCCTGCTGCTCTCCCTGGTGGCCCGGTGCCTGCTGCTCCGCCTGGTGCCCGCTGCATGCCAGCCTGGCCCGGTGCCTCCGCCCTCGGTGGCCCGGGGGGCCCAGCTCCGCCTGGTGGCCTCCGCTGCTCCGCCTGTGGCCCGGTGCCCGCTGCTCCGCCTGGTCCGGTGCCCGCTGCTCTGCCTGGTGATCCGGCATCTGCCTGACGTGCCTCCGTTCGGTGCCCAGCCCGACGTGCCTCCGTCCGGTGTCCAGCCCGAAGTGCCTCCGTCCGGTGCCCAGCCCGAAGTGCCTCCGTCCGGTGTCCAGCCCGAAGTGCCTCCGTCCGGTGTCCAGCCCGAAGTGCCTCCGTCCGGTGTCCAGCCAGAAGTGCCTCCGTCCGGTGCCCAGCCCGAAGTGCCTCCGTCTGGTGCCCAGCCCGAAGTGCCTTCGTCCGGTGCCCAGCCCGAAGTGCCAGTCTTTGATATCCCGCCAGTCACCGGACCCGGGCGGTGGAACATTCTGCCCAGCCAGGACTGTTTGCAGCGTCCTGAGGCCGCTCCTTGAGGGGGGGGGGGGGGTAATGTCAGGAATGGACTTGCCAATAGTGGTGGGACTTACCTGCCTTGTGGGCTGCAGTACCAGGGCTGGCCAGCGGGTGCTCTCAACAACCAGAGGCTCACTTCGGCAATTAGCCATCACCTGGGGCTGATTGCAGGTGGTGTATTTAAGGGATGGACAGACCTGCAGTCTGTGCCTTGTTGTACTGTTTGCTTGGCCCTGGTTTCCTGATCCTGTTTCTGCTGTCCTGACGCTGTTTGAACTCTGCCTGTACTGACCTTGGCTAGTCCTGACCACTCTCCCGCCTGCTCCTGGTACTCCGTTTGCCCGTTTGTTAGCGACCCGGCCTGTCTGACTACTCTTGTATCGTATGTTTGTTATCTGTTGGAGGTTTGGTTCAGTTTGTTTGCACTGTGTTATGTTTAGTTTTGCACTGCGTTTGTATTGTTAGTCTTAATAAATTATATTATTTACTATATCTGAAGCCTACGTTTCCCTGTGTCAGTCCACACACTTCTGGTCACACCCGCATCCCTGACACAATAGCTAAAGATCTCCAAACTTCATGTGGCCTTCAGATTAGCACAACAGTGCGTAGAGAGCTTCATGGAATGGGTTTCCATGGCCGAGCAGCTGCATCCAAGCCTTACATCACCAAGTGCAATGCAAAGCGTCGGATGCCGACACTGGACTCTAGAGCAGTGGAGACATGTTCTCTGGTGTTATGAATCACACTTCTCTATCTGGCAATTCAATGGATGTGTCTGGGCTTGTCGGTTGCCAGGAGAACAGTACTAGCCTGACTGCATTGTGCCAAGTGTAAAGTTTGGTGGAGGGGGGATTATGGTGTGGGGTTATTTTTCAGGGGTTGGGCTTAGCCCCCTAGTTCCAGTGAAGGGAACTCTTAAGGCATCAGCATACCAAGACATTTCGGACAATTTCATGCTCCCAACTTTGTGGTAACAGTTTAGGGATGGCCCCTTCCTGTTCCAACATGACTGCGCACCAGTGCACAAAGCAAGGTCCATAAAGACATGGATGAGAGCGTTTGGGGTGGAGGAACATGACTGATATGCAAAGTCCTGACCTCAACCCGATAGAACACCTTTGGATGAATAATTAAAGTGGAGACTGTGAGCCAGGCCTTCTCGTCCGACATCAATGCCTGACGTCACAATTGCTCTTCTGGAAGAATGGTCAAACATTCTCATAGACACCCTCCTAAACCTTGTGAACGGCCTTCCCAGAAGAGTTGAAGCTGTTATAGCTGCAAAGGATGGGCCAACTCAATATTGAACCCTACGGACTAAGACTGGGATGCCATTAAAGTTCATGTGCGTGTAAAGGCAAGCATTCCAATACTTTTGTCAATATAGTGTATATATGAAAACTATGTGTATTTCAATACAGAACCTCCCTCTGCTGCCTTCTACTGTTTGCTTTTATAATTGCTGCTTATCACAGATTTGTGTGTAGCACTACCTGTCCCTGCTAGGCTGGCTTTGAAACCCTGGAAGGGGGAAGTGGAGAGAGAAATTTTCAGCCACATGTCCTGTCCATGCTTTCAAATACAGGACCAGAAGAGAATATTATGCAAATATTCCTATGATCTAATAAGTTTACCTCCAACGTCTGTATCTAAATCCTCGTGGCAGAGTATCTCTGCGCTTTCTTCATTATTATTTCACATGCACAGTGCCAGATAGCTAGGCCTGTGCAACTATATATTTATAGTGGTCCCCTTCCAGCATATTGGTAGATGAACCTGCTTATTGAAATATAGTTTATATGCAATTCCTGGTATTCTAGTTAGGCTTGTCCTTTCAGGTCTAGTATTCTATAGCTAGCTTTAGCTATATAACCAGCACAGGCTATGTCAGGTTAGAAATTATTAGGAAGGGACTAAAGCGTAGAGTAGATAGGCTGACTATGAGTTTGACTGCCAGTGTTCCAGTGCAATCCCACAGTTCCTGTCAGTGAGAAGCTCCATTTCAGACTGGTTAGACAACAGCTGGAGTATATCCCCATAACCACAGATTCCTGTCTTCAGGACATAAGACACAGCATCATCCTCAGGGGCCTCTGCAACTGGTCTTTGCTGCAACATTCATCTGGAGGTATCTGTTAATAACTATATACTTTATACCTGGGTAAATGTGCACAATTTTACCAAGACTCTTATTGGGCCCTTTACTGACAATACCTGTTTGTACATTTGATATATGTACTATTATTAATCTCTTCCTATATAAAGCTTGAATTATTTCAGACTGTGTATCTATTTACTTATGATTAATGTTATATGTTGAATACAGTAGTTCTTCTGCTGCCAATTATTCTGTTTAGATTATAAATTAAAGGAAGGGAATCCCCTCTATTCACAGAGGCCCTTTCCTGGGTGGAGGCACTACCAACTTTATTATCAATTTCACTGTTCAATTTAGTGAAGTTTCTGTTTTTCTTATTTACCTACAGGCTTAGCGCAATATCCTCTTTGGGGAGGGTCATTTCCCATATTCCCCTAAAAGAGGACTACATACTGTATATAAAACTAAAGCTGATAGCAGGTATCAATTGAATGGGTTGTCAACTATAGAATGAACATTCCTATTGGAAGAGATCGATTTATGGCTACCATAAGACAGGGTTACCACTTGACTGGTATTTTACCAGTCAGGCCATTAAATTTATTGTTAGCTAAGGCCAGCCAAAAACAAAATATCAGCCCCTTTAAAGGGCTGCTTATTTGCTGAGAAA